GTCAAGTCACGAGGATTTAGTTCGTTTCTCCAGTGCTTTTGCAAATCACTGATGCTACCTGTGAAGTACCTCTGCAGAGGCCCCTTTTGTCATCTGCCATCACCCCACGGTTATATCCAACCTGGCTTTTTTATATCCAACCCGTAGAAACCTCACTCACCACTCACTTCTCTCAGCTTTATTCTCCCCAGTCACACCTCACATCCTCCGAGGACCAGGCCTTGCTGTTGGCACAGCAGAGCTTGAGAACAGCCAATTTCTCACCACCAACAAAAAATGCCAATGGCTCCTCTACACCAGCGCTCCCCTTCTTGCTCCCTCCGGGGGAGTAGGGACCAGGGAGTGGGTGCTGAGACCATAAGCATTGGTGCATCTCCGGCCAAAGATGCTGCTGCTTGTTGACAGTGGGTGCATCTCCGGTGCATGTGGTATGTACCAAGTTCCACCTTGTGGTGACACTGAGAATGGGCTTCTCCACAAAGCCCGTGGCAGCATCCTCCTTCTCTTCTTTACACTGGCTTTTCTTGCCCACTCTACTTCCCTTCCAGGGTGGTGAGAGGTCCTGCTGAGCCGAGGCAGGGTGACCTTAAAGTTTCATATAGGAGGAGTTCTCCCCAAGTATCATGTTGTGGCTGTCCTTCAAATCACTGCCCAAAACCTTCCTCTGCTGGCATGCTGGCAAGAAGCCGTATGATGGGCAGGTTTCTGGTGCACTGAGGTCAGCGCTGTCACCTAGCCCAATATTTCTCAGCCCCATTTTCTCTATATATCCTTTGGCTGTTGTGCCTTGTCTGCAAGGTCTCTGGGAGGAGAACGGTCCCTTCTCCAACTCTGCTCTGATCAGTCTACGCAGCTCCAGCCATCTTTCCCCAAAACAGGCTGGCTATATCCAGACTGCCTACTGGGAAGGACTGCAGGCCCATGCCATCACCCAGATCATGCTATGTGCTAGCTTGCTATGGATCAAAACCATGCTGGGGAATGTGCTGGCAGTTAAACGGGACAGAGCCCTGGCCCTGGTTTGTATGACGAAGCCAGGCTGCCAGCTCAGACATTTCACAGACAGTTCAAATTGTGACCTTTGTTTGTGAAAATCTTCATAAATCTTTCTGCCAGTCTGGGTCACTTGAAGCGAGCTTGGATCCATGCACAGCACTGGCTATGACCCATCAAAAGCTACTGCCCTGCGCTCTTGATGAAATCCAGGTAAAACACCTAACTAAAGTTCATTGCACTCGGGAACTCAAAACCAGACTTAAGGTTTGTTTCAGTCCTTCGATTGGTCCCTCCATCACGGTGCACATAGAGATTTGGCTGCAGAGTGAGAGGCACTAAAACAAACATTGGCTTGCAGTAAATTACAGCTTTTCCTGTAGCTGGTGTAAAAAGTGTGGGAAGAAAGTAATTGATAAGAAGGATATGAGCTTGATGGATAGGACCAGCACCAACAGCCAGGAGCGCAGCTTAGTTGCCTAACTCCTGAGTCATGTTTCTGGGCACATGCTGATGAAGATGTTCTCTTCATGAAAGCAAAGTCAATTGTAGGTGGGTCCCCGCTTCATTTTTTTAAGGCTACTTAACAGCTTTTCTTGACATTTTCTTCAGGAGCTGAAATTTCTTCCACAGACAAAATCCAGGTCACTCTCACAATTCTGAAGCAAGGCAAAATTTGTGCAATAATTAAATTGCACAATTGAATTATGCAAAACTAGATTTTTCCCCCCCTAAGTAATTTATCTGGAATTTCATCATTCTGTAACTTCAGCCAAAAACAGCCAGTGAGACTTCTTGTGTGGTATCTCAACACAGAGTTTTAAAAGGTACCCATGTGAGGGGCAGCCCAAGGTGTGAGAATTTCCCCACACACATTGTCTAAATGGGGTCATTTAAGGTGTGGAAGTATCTCGGTTTAGAAGAAACTGTGGCAAAATCTTCTCTACCTGCATAGAGAAAAAGAGAAACCTCCATGTTTGACCAAGGTCTGCAGCCTTCCATTCTGGTGGGCTTGACTGAGTAAGGACTGAGACCCTCCACCCACGGTAAGGACCTAGGAGACGCATGGGCTTGCGGTTGGTCTCGCGGTATTTAGGTATCTCAACAAGGGGCCAGGAGAAGACAGGATACAACTCACCTGTCTATATCCCTATAAGCCTAAAATTTCTTGCAGACACCTACATTTAGCCAGCTGAATCCCACCCTGGATGATCAAATCACCAAGTATTTGTCTGCAGCTTTCCTTCATAAATACCTGCTTATATATTTCAATCTCCCTGTAAAGGAAACTACACTTTGCTCCCAAATCACTGACACCTTTGGCTCCCAGAGCTGCCTATCCAGTCAGCTGAGTTTCCGGATATTGCACAAAACATCTCTTCCCCACACACCTCTCCCTCTTGCTTTTCCCTGTAGTTGGCTGTATCCTTTCATCTCTGCTACCTGCAGCAGTTTTCCAAACGACTGCATTTCCTTCTTCCTCCTCTTCCATTTCCTCATTAAAATCTATTTTTCCCAAGCATCTTCTTGCCCCGACTCATCTGCTTTTGGGCCTGATGTCGGGGCTTTCCACACCAGCAACAATCTCAAAACCAACTGCGGGCTTTAGTTTTACTAAAAGACATTGCTCAGATTGGAAATTTATCAGCTTTTGTGTCAAAATAAAAAAAAGACCCAAAATGGATTTTACTTGTCCTGTCTGAAAAAGGGACAAGTTGCATGTTTAATGTATTGAGAAGTGTCAGTATTGCAAATTCTCCTGCACTATTAGAAACACTATGGCTCAAAAAACTCCCACGTAACACATCAGGCACAACCTGCATCAAATGGCATGTGCTAGAAGCATTTTGTTTGTAGAAAAGGAGATCAAAGTCACCAGCTGCTTCAGAGCAGATCCCACCTGATCCCAAGTAGCATTATGTCCACCCACAGAGGTTGAAGACCAGAAGGAGCCTCCTCAGTGCTCCCAGCTAAGAAGGGCAGGTGGAGATGATTCATTTGGAAATTTAAATCTAGAGGTTAATCCTCAGGACTAGCTCACAGAAGAAACAAGGAAATGGCCTGTTTTGTAGGATTGTACTAACCCTTCCCTGCTGATTCTCACCCTGGGCTGCGGCAGAGGGCATTGCCATAACGGGGCTGTGGCATTCTCTGCACAATGTACACAGTGTCTTAGATGAAAAAGTCAGTGTGTAAGAATAAGGCATAGTACAAATTAGCTATTCTATAATCTGTGCGAGCACAAGGGCTCCCAGTTCAGAAACAAACCAACTTCATGAGGCAAGAGAAAGATTATTAATAGCCCGCAGAGTCTAGCAGATTCATTGCGTACTAAATGTAGATGACCCTTTATAAAATAAGCAACAAGAAGCCCATCCAGCTGAATTAAACGCATTCAAAATAAAAGGCACAGACCACTAAATCACAGCAGCTACTCTGGCTCTGCGGACAAGGGAGCATGCTCAGTTTTCAACCCAGGACTCAGATTTCCATCCAAATGCAGAATAAACAAAACTATACAAACTTTTCAGAAACTCTCATCTACAGCAATAACCGCTTCTGCTACTGGAAGATATCTCAGGTGTCTCCTACTGACTGTTAGATATTTTACTGAGACTGAACCATGTGCCTGTGGTTAATTCTGACATGGTAAATACAGCTGTTGTTGTATCTACAGTGGGAAAAAAAGAGAGAAACTGAAAGAAAGAAATTGAGTTTCAACATACAGCCATAGACAAAACATATCTATAAACCACAGTATCTGAGAAATTTCTGACAAACTACATAGCACAAGTCTGATCCTGCTAACAAACCAACATGTGAGCAACTTTTCTTGTCTAAGTAGTCTGGCATTTGGAGTGACTTTGGCACTTGTGTGTGTTATGTGTCATGGAATTTCTGTAAATACTTTTTTAAAAGCTTGGCTCATTCAACACTTGTGTATTTTTCTGCTTGAGACAAGAAAATAGATTAACAAACAGACATTGAATTCTTCTTGGTTCCTAACCCCAGAAGACTAAATAATATTCACTGAAAAATGACCCACAAGCCAGAATAGGAAATATTTTAATAGTTCCAGATGTATTTCTTAGCTTTCTTTCCCCAGTGGTTGTATAATGAATGAGATACCTATAAGAAGTATAACATTAACCTCTGTTTCACCTTCCTGTCAGATTTCTAGCATCTGGGAAAATCAGAGGGAAGATTTCTTGAGCCTGGGGGAATCTTTTCACATTTCTCCTGGTAATGCTAAACTGATTATGTTTATGGTCAATCACTTATTCCTCTATAAGTTTATTTTTGTTTATAGCTCATCTATAGCAAGAAAGCACCTATCTCACAAAATAAAAATAAGCACTGTAGACTTTTCCCATTTCTGTGGGATCACAATACCCCACTTCAATCTGTAGCTATCACAGCCCTGAGTTGTTTCTGCTCATCAGAGTAAGTAAAATACAATGAAGAGGTAACAAAGGAATATATTAAAGTCAGACAAGGGAATAAGGGATATTTCATTACCCTGTCTATCAGACAAGCCTCCAATTCTTGGTACCAGTTGAATCTCCTTAAATCTCACTTGCTGGAAAGGCAGAGAGGATTTCTTCTTTTTTAGAAACATTACTTACTTTGTACTTAACATTTATAGAGTCTTGGAGGCAGACCCTGAGCCAAGGTGATTTATCCTGGCTCTGCTCTCTTCACCAGAGCCCAGAGAGTTTACTCAGTTGAGCATCTGCCCCGCTCTCAGTTTCACCATAAAGGGGAGGAGATTTGGATCAACTTTTCTGGACTTGCACTTACCCAGACAAGGCACCATTTCTACCAACACAGCTAACCCCATTAACAGAGAAAAATCTGTCATCTCTTTCTGTAACACCGATTAAATGCTGCATTACTTCCAAATGAGAGAATGGGGAAGCAAAGGAAGGGGGAGAAGAGAGGAGGAAAAATAAAGCTCTTGGACAAGATAAGAGAGCTGAAACGCAAAGACATTTCTACAGACTTACTGTTGCAAGCGAGGAAACTGCCATTTGATTCCATTGCTGCAAAACAAGCTGATATGCAGCAGCAGAAAGGGCTCCGGGAAACAGCTGTGCCCAGGTGTTAGTGCTGGCCTGGGGTGGAAGCCAGACCCTCAGGGCTCCCCCTGCTCTCTGCTCCAGTAATCCCCAACGTCAGCTGCCTTCGGAGAGGCCTGCTCCTTCCCTTGGCTGGAAATGCGTCTTCCCTATGACTCCTCATTTATTTCTCTCCCGCATCCGCACGCCACTGCCTGCCCAGCGCATCGACTGAGGCCAAGCGCCCGAGCCCCAGCGCCGCGCTGGCCCTGGCTCCTCCCCGATGAAATCTGGCGTCTTCACCGCTGGCCCAGCCTCCTGCTTTTGCTACCGCTGCAGCTTGACAGCGATGCCTCTTTTCCTGTTGCTGGCATATTTTCATGCTCCGCTCTTTTCCGGCAAGCCTTCCAGAAGACACTGAGTGCCGCAAATCTGTCCTCCATGGTCCCCAAATCAACGAAAGGGCTTTAAACAAATGCCAATAATCAGAGGCTAGGTCTAAAGGGCTTTTAGACACTGGTAGGGGCATATTTCGTTTCGCAGGGAAAAAAAAAACCAACAGGTCAGAAACTGCCAATGTAGAAATAGAAGCTGTAACCACAAACGCTCACAGAAGCATGAGCTTAAAGCAGAAGAAAAGTTACAAGCTTTGTATTTGAGACAGAAAGCAGAAAAAACTGCACTGTCCTGAGCTTTTACTGAGTGGAACTTATTTCTTCCACTCTGTCCCCTACTCTTGAATCAGTATTTTTTAAGGGTAGAAAGATGATGCTGGCAAACAGGGAGGGGGAAAGCAAGGGAATCCAGTGTAGGAAAATAAAGTTTCCCTCTACTTGAACATTTGGGGGAGGTTTTCAGTTATTGTTTTGCTGTTGTTTATTTCCATTTCTGGTTATTTAAGTTATCTTGATGCAAACAATTGATGGAGTCATCGGCAGATTCAAAGCCCTTGCTCCTCAGCAGCTGTAAACCTGGCAGTTCCACCAACAGAAGGGAAAAGTCCCTCTCTGATGGTGACAGATCTGGGAGACACATGGTGAAAAATACTTTGGGACTAAGACTGTCCCTCCCTGCCAGGAACTGGGCTGGTCTTTTGAGAGCCCAGACGTTGCTCTCAGATAGTTTTACAGTCCACAAATACAGGGCTGCTGCCACCACCCAAGGAAAATTGCCCTAATTTAGCACAACTCCTCTGTGCTAGTACAAAACTAACAGAACCAAAGTAGTGGAGAAAATAAAGAGCAGAGATTCCACCCCATGACTCCTGAAAAGCCCACCCTTCTATCTCATGGCCACCAGCATGGCACTGGGGGGCCGGGGGGGCTCATCTCCTGCTAGACACTTTCCAAAGGACCCAGGAAGGAGCATCCCTTTTGCAAACCTGCAGATAAGGAAACATTGACTTGGACAGGGGCAAACTGTTTGGCAGCAAGATCAATTGCTGGTAGGCAGGATGGCAGCTGGAGGCACCCAAGAGATTCCTCGTACAGCCTTAAAAGCCTCAAAGGCAGGGGGATTTCCGGAGGACACCACCAAAACTAGTTGCCCTTTCAGCTGATGGGGATAGAATACTGGAGGGAGTGCACGAGAGGCTGGTGAATGAGTCAGCCGGACTGGAAATTCCGGTAAAGCTGAGGTGATGAGGACATTATGGTTTTCACAAGGGAGGAAAAGTAGAAAAGGGCAGTCTGAAAGTGGTGATGGGAAATGGCATTATAGTAACTCCTTTGCTCTTCTCTATATCACACCCCATTGTGTCTTCACACTGCCTAACATAAGCCCCTCACTTAAGAGATGTACCGGCCAGTATCCCTATGCCCTCTGCAGCAAAGAGGGGAGATGTAAGAGAGCTATGTTAGTCCCAGAAATGACGAAGACTATATTCTGGATAGAACCCCTTTACAGTAGTGCAGGGCACGACAGCACCAAGACATGACCATTACTCCCCTGCACCGCTGTGAACACCACCGTGATTGCACTGACTGCCTCGGGCTGGACAGAGCATCACCAAGCGAGCAAGACTGAGTGAGTTTCTCTGCCATCGTCCTTTGAGATTTGAAGATGATCCCCTGCATTTACCCCTTCATGACAGTCCACTGTATCTTCTTGTGCTTCCTTCTTGCCGTGCTGCGTTCTCCATGATGACACTAAATGGTAGCAGAAATGGTGCCTGTCAGGAGGATTCACAAAACCTTCCCCAATTTTTCACTTTTCACCATTAAACTTACTCTCCCTGCTTCTGTACACATCCAGAAGCATCACCATTTTGGCTGCTTTGAGCACTTTGGCACCTTTCTGCCACCCTAAGCTAAGTCATCACTATTCCTAAATCATTGATGGGTTTGACGTTGTATATGTGCTCAGAGCAAGCCCGGCACTCACAGACAACCTTGCATTCCTTCCATTCGTCAGAAAGTACAGCAGTCACCACCAGAGCTGGTGATGATATCCTGCAGCAAACACCCAGAAGCCAGGATTGCACAGCACAGGTCTCATCAGAGCCTTGTTTCAGAAGGCAACAGTCCTCTTTTAGCTATATTTCTGCATGCACACTGGTTACAGAACTGCAAAATGTCAGCATTCATCTGGAAGTCCTAACACAGCAGTTCATTTTATAACAAAATGTTAAGATATGCTGCAGCCAACTGTTGCTGTATCTTTGCTTATTTTTTAAAAGCTATCTGAATTTCTGACTGCTTCTTCCCTGTTCTGAATACAGCTCCTAAGCTCCTAAGCTCTATCCACCAGCTTGCTCACAACCAGTTTTGTGGCTCTTGATCTTCAAGATCAAACCAGGATTTGAAGGGGAGAGTTCAGTATGATTATAATTAAACAGCACTCCTTTGTGCATGTTGTCTCTACTCACTGCAGTAATACTGTTGCTAAGGGTTAAAGTTAAATACATACAATTTATTCTGAGCAGATTTGTCCCGACATCCATAAGGTGGCATTTCGATACCTTTTTTAGGCACTGCAGGTTTGTCTTTTCTGCTTTAAAAATTAACTTTTACAGTGAGATAACAACAAGACTGTAAAATCTTTTCTTTTATTGCAATGTAACTGAGCGAGGTGATTGCATACTCTCTGCCCGTGCTGACTTAGCTCTATTTATTCCTTGATAAAATTGCCTCCTCCAGGATTTTACAGCAGGCGAGTTAACGTGCACTGATTGTTTTGTAGGAGGAATACACCTTTTGTAGCAATGAAGACAAAATCTAACAGTAAAACCTGCTTTCCTGAATTCCACAAATACATTATAGATGTATAAGGAGGGCTGGATTTATTCCCTCTGGACTCCTGTGTGCACCACCCACAAGCAGTGACTTCACTGCTGAGCCCAGCTTGGTGTCTCCCAGCTTTCCACACGCTGCAGGTTATTCCATTTAATGGCTCCCTGAGACTTAGGAAGCGGCTTTATTTCCCTGCCTTTGTTGTCATGGATTTTAATCCCCAAATCATCCTGCCGGGCTGAAGAGGAATGTGAGGAATTCCCTGTGGCGTCTCAGCCACGTGTCTCTCCACCCTTCAGGTGTTCCTTGGAGTCAGGATCCTGGCTGCCCACGGCTGTACCTGGACCTAAGCTCCTCCTCACTACCTTCCCAAAGGGAAGGCAAGGTTGGGGTGAAAAAGTAGAATACCAATAAAAATTAAAATGATAGGATAAGGGCATGTAAATCAAGGAAAGGAGCAGGCAGTTGTTGTAGGGCTTCTTGGCCTCAATGCACAGGGTTTATTCTCTTTGTTTGCATGGGTAGGAGCTATAGGATGGGACCCATATGCAGCATAATACATTAAAGGGAATATTTAGAAATGCCAGTGCAGAAGGGAGAAGATAGGAAAGGACCCAAAGTCTACATTGCAGGTGTGGAAAGAAACCTTGACATGACAATGACTCAAGAAATAGGCAACCTGTTACTTTTTGTTCCTTTCTCCTCAGTCTTTCCCCTCCAAGGGAAATTCTCCCTTGAGGCTCTGGCACCCAGGAGGGAGGGAAAGCACAGCTCCTCCATCCCGCTCCCAGGCCTCCCCTCCCCTCGGCCGCAGGAGAGGGCTCTCAGGGCTGGAGGAGGGACCAGTACTCCCATTTCTCAGTCGCACCAGAGAGGGGTGCAGGAAGGATGCATTTCTTGAGCAGGAATCTCTGAACAGGAAGAGGCCAGAGGTGCTGTGAGATCTTGCTTTGGGCTTCTCCCTGGGCTATGTGCATATGGATTTGCTGCACAAACATGGCTGTGCCAGCGGGAGCTAAGGAGCTGCTGCTCCCAAGTTGCTCTCAGGGTGAGGAGTTGAGGCTCGTGGGAGGTGGAGAGGGGAAGAGAGGACATAACGCAATACATGCATCATCCTCCCGGACTATCACAAAAGGCCTTTTCTCAGTCCTGAGCTTCAGGCTTATGCCAGTGACAACTCTGGTACCCCCAGATCCTGATTAAAGAAGGCATAAAGACTTCACGATGCCCATTTTGCTCCACAGCCCCTTTAATTTGGCTCAGCCACAGCCCAGACGTGGGCTCAAAGACCCCCCAGAAAAGACGGCAAGAACTCAGCCACACTCAGCTCTTTGCTGCAGCTGTTTAAGACAGGCCTTTTCATTGCACCAATTCACCTTGCAGCCAAAGAGACTCAACCACCAAAGCGCACACCATCAGACAAAGGCGATTATATTTCAAATGAATAGAAAACCCCAAAACCTGCTTTGGACTCCCTGCTTTTTTCTTGTCCATACCACCATTTTCTGAGCTCATCAAGAAGCAGAGTCAGGGCATTTCTAGGCCTGGAGATAGGCTGTAGGATTGGCACAGCCTTCTCAAAGCAAAACTGCCACTTTTCTAGAGTGCAAGGTCAGCGCCATGATATTTTACCAAGGAACAAGTCCTAAAGCCAGGACACACCTTGATTAACTCACTTGCTCTCTAGCCATAGAAGTGAGATTGAAAGGAGTTAAATGTCAGGGTGAGGAGCCTGCCTCCCTCTGTAACCCACCCTCCACACAGCTTGCCAAAATCATCAGCTGAACCGGAGTTGTGCAAAGTCAAGGAATCTTTTCTCGCACACCTACACCCCTTTGCATTCTCCTCCTTTGTTTGTGCACACATAGCCCAGGCCAGGCAGCAAAGAGCGTTTGCAGTGTTCAAAGCCAAAAATGTTTGCAGGGTTCAATTCAACGGTGAACCATAAATCACAGCAAACCCAAAGCAAAGCAGCTTA